CTAAACTTCCTCATTGGAAGTCACGAAAAAGCGGTGGGTTTTTCGAGAAGTTGTTGATCATGTAATTACGAAAGAGCTTTTCGTCTTTCTGTAAGTGTCATTGAAGCGTTTGGCCTAGTAGATTGTATATCAGCATACCCTTCCAGGCTCTGAAGAAGGCGATACTGCCGAAACGTCAGCTAGCGTTGTATTGTATTGTTTTTCTATGGAAGTAAATGTATGCTGTTTAAAAACCTCGCGATTGCTGAACAAGAAAACGACACATTCATATTCCAATGCCGAGGTTAACAGAAAGTCGATCCTGGCAACTATTAAAAGAATAATGCATCAGTAATATTTTCTTGGGTTATTAAACTAATAATAGGTTTTTAGAAACTTTTTCGGTAAACGTTCCGGCGCTCTCGCCTTTTTCAGAGCCGGATTGTTTCGATTCTATTGTCCCATTCATTATTCTTACGGAGCTTAGCACCGCTTAAATGAAGTAACCTCACTCGGCGGTCACCGGTTTTATGCAGTTTTTGAAGTAATGAATCAAATCTAAATATCGTGTAGACATTGCGACATGAGTACGAAATACAAATGTGGATTTTTCTTTTGAGTTTACAAGGAGCGAAGGACCTGAGTAGAATTTTATGGGATATGTTTAGGGCCAGTGCTTCATAGCTATCGATCCACAGGCATTTGCTCCAGGATTTCACGAAAGAATGCAAGACTTCATCAATACTATGCGGAACTTACCACCGGCAAGTGTTGTGTATACTCTGTGAAACACAGTTCACTACCATTTAATAGAGAGTAGGGGCTGATTTTGTGGGCTTATGAATTGATTCCATTCAGTGTGTTTCCCTTATAGCCATAAACCTATGATCTCAGCAATGAAATGGATTATATATAGTGTGCGTAAGGAATAAGGTAACGGCTTCCGTCATTTCTTACAGGTCATTGTAAAAACATAAGTTCGATTCGTCAAAGATAAGTTTGCTACGAAGCAACTGATTCTGATGGAATTGTTTTGGTTGGGCCAGCATAAGCGACATTTAACCGTCTTCTTTTTTTCTAACTTCAAAAGCGAACCAAATTCTAATTATGGTTGTTTCAATACAGAACTTGTTTTAAATCTCTGTTTGACAACCATGAAATGTTTCCATAATGAAAATGAAGAAGTAAAAAATTCGAGCAGTTCAATAATTGCCTTCCCCATCATTCTTGTTTTCTGTGAAGAACAAGCAAACGGATCCTCTTCCTCTACTTTGCCACTAGCCTTCTTCTGTTCATGGATCGATTATAGTCTTCGTTGATTGGCGCTGACACAGATCTGGATGGTTAGAAGCTGGATATCTGCAAAAATTTGTTGTGAAAACACGTCATTTCTTTTAGTGAATACACATTTTTAAAACATTTTCCATGCAGTTCCCAAGATCGACTTTCTGTTAACCCCAGCATTGATCATATAATTCACTGTTTTCTCGATGGGTAGGTACGAGATCGTTAACAACAAGATTTATTCAGTAGTGACTGACGCTTCGGTGGTTTCATCTTCTTGAGAGCGTGGAAAGCTCTTTTTAACACTCAATCTACGCAGTGAAACACTCTCATGAGAGCAGAAAGAATTCGATGCACCAATTTCTTGTTCGCATAGTGAATAGTTTCTTTTGAATGCTCATCGTTTTTGCAATGTGAAAGTGGCTGAGAGGAAGGGAAAACGAAGATCTCAGTGGTGCAGTGGGTAACATGTCAGCTCCCGGAAAGGCTGTTGCGAGTTAGTATCTAGCCTGGATTCTGAATTTTGCCAGTATCTAACCGTTATTGTGGTTTCAACTCACCTGTCTCTTCTTTATAAGTCTTCCAGTTATTGTTGGAGACCATCTGCACATATTCTTACATATGCGAGGAATGTGCCTGGCTCATCTCAGAAAAACCAGCTTGAACTATGGCACAAGGTCGCGCATGATCAGAAGGCACTATTTGCGATTCATTTTTGGATTTTTGGAACTTATCCAGTGTGCTTCAAAAGTTTTTCGCGCAACCGTTTTGGATTCTTGTGCGAGGAATGGCTTTTAGTGACTTTTGTTTCAAAATATTCTCCGTTGAGCTTCTATGTCCCGTGCGTGTCTAGTGGAGTATTCTGCTTGACTTTAAAATTCTTGGCTAGGTGACCTTTTATACAAACACAGTGGTGCACCCGCTTCACAAATATATTCATCCCCGCTTGTTATACAACAGATTAGGAATTCCGCATCCAAATGCCTGCAATCCTCAACTCTACCGTTAGGGCAAATTATGCAGTATTGCATGTCGCATAGGCAGTCATACAGTCGGTTACAAGAGATATGGGTACAAGAGATTTACGAGCCGAGATTACCTATTGTGTAGATCTCAGCAATTATTTTATTCTGTTCGTTTTTTGGTATCTATCCTTCACGAAGACCTTGGGATTTGCATCTGTATTCGCCTCCAGGCTGAGAACTTCAATTTTCTCTATAAATTTTGTTGATTGCTGGTCGAATAGGTTCTTCATGGAATGCTGCACAAGCCGCGCTAAGTTGTACCGAGATTTTTGCCACAAGAAGTCTTCGTTTCTCGTGGATCCAACTGAGTTTCCAAGATGAGTCTGCTACCAGAGTGCTTCCGCGAGCCCAAGTGATGGGTGGCTTCGTTGGCGATGACGGGTACGAAATTGGCCCCTTGCACTTATTATTGTGCAACATCTCTGCCACTGTTCTACATGCATCTCTTTAATAAACATATGGTCAAGTGAATGTGCCTATGAAGTCGTAAATGACTATAAATTGAATTTTCTCAGACGGATGAAGGCCTCAATGTAGAAGTTGCTGGAGACATGGAGAGGAAGCATATAAAACTAGTTGAGGAACTCGGTGGTATCCCTTACCACCCAAATCAGATTACAAACGCTGTAGGTTTTCATTCCACATTTTGTTCTGGATATCACGTTACCATCGCTCTTATTCCGTTCACTCCGTTTTTGTTTTCAAAAGAAACGTTTTAATTACTTTTAATTACTCATTTTGACTTGTAAATAGGTCGACGTTTTGTAAATACATATCTATTTAAACTTTTTTAGGGTGTTGTGTTTTACCCTTCGACTTGAATTTATCGCTTTCTCAGTGGCGCTTTTTTAATTTCAGGACAATCTGGCTGAGAAGTTTAATGTGGAGAAGTTGAAAATATTGAAAGAGTTCTAATTAGATTTATTATTCTCATTGAGATGCGCTAGTCCTCTTCGTGTTTGAGGTGTTTATAAAATAAAACTGAAAACAGGTCAAGTGTCTCTATCGCCAATTGTCTTAGTACTTTATAATGCCCCCTTTTCTGACCTGTATCCTTTCGAAGCTCATTGTGACGTGCCTGAACAGTTAAAAGAGTAGCGTTGAAATCGATAGGACCAACAGACCACATTGAGATGAGGGTCTTTGAACGATATTAATGGATAAACTATGGTTTGCTTTGCTACTGCGTACTATCCAGCAATCCGAAAATCAACTCATCAGAAAGTAAAGCGACGAAACACCGATTGAGATGCTATGAACAGCATGAAAATGAATGTAGCTTATTTCATTGACAAGCTAACACGAGGTTGTTCCCAAATATTTATTCGGTTAACATTTCGATGTCTTCGTCTTCCTTTGAGAATGATCCGAGTCGATGATCCGCAGTCGATCGTGCTCTCGATGTGGTGTCTTTTTCGTCGTATCGAGCCGAGCCTTCAATGGAGCACTGCTCAAATGAGACAGTTTCACTTGATGATGCTCTTTTACACAGTATGAGGAAGACGAATATGTCGAAGCGTTAGCCGAATAAATGTTTGCTAGCAACCTCGTTTCAGCTTATCAATGAAACAAGGTCACCTGTAGTCCACATGATCCTCGAATGACTCGAGCAGGCGCCAGTAAATTTTCCATTTTTACCTGTGGCATGCAAGAGTAGCCCAGTGGTTTCTGCTCGCTCTAAGGACTCGTCGAGCATCATATCTTTCTTCTAGGCTCCTTGTGAAGAACTCTGACCATCGAGTCGGTGGTCTTCCTGCAGTATACTTGGCATCCCAAGGAATCCAATCACTACCAGCTCTTGTCCATCGGTTGTCATTCATACGCATTACGTGTCCGGCCCACCTTATCTTCGATTGTTTGGCGTACAGAACGGCGTCTTTGATTTTTGATCGCTGACGTAGGTCGGAACTTCGGATCCGTTCCCTTATTTGCGTGACATGGGATACCCCTAGCATCGTCCTTTCCACTGCGCCTTCGATAATACTGAGTGATTTTCCATCCTGCTTCACAGCGACCAGGTTTGTGAAGCATACGTTAGGGTAGAAAGTACCGCTGAATCGAAAGGGCGGGCACGAAGTCGGGTGTTCTTTCTTCTCTTCACTACATCGTCGATGCTCTTGAAAGGTCCACAAGCCGCTCGTTTCCTTCTGCTCAACTCTGGAGCTAAGTCGCTCGACATGTTGATTTCCAGACCTAAATAGACATAAGTGGAGCATTCGGAGATATTCGTTCTGTTGAGCGTGAATGAGGCATACGAAACCAATCCGTTCCTCATGAACATCGTTTTTGTGAGATTTAGTCGAAGACCAATGTTTCCACAGGCTTTATCAAAGTCGGTAAACATACGTTCCGCTTGGCTAATGTTTGGTGTTGTAAGGACGGTGTCATCAGCAGAGCGAAAGTGGTGCAACTGCCGACCATCGATTTTCACTCCCATATTATCCCATTCCAATGTTCGCATGACGTTCTGGAGGGTGGCGATAAATAATCTTGGCGAGGTGGTAACGCCTTGCCTAACCCTTTTTTGAAGTCGACGTTAATATCGTTGTAAAATGGTGATCTCTTAACTGTGAAATTTTTGTACAACTCACGAAGAATTTTTATGTACTGAGTAGGGACTCCTTGACTATGAAGGGCTTCTATGACTACTTCTACCTCAAGTGATTTTGTTCGTATTTTTTGAGCAAACGCGAGGTGTTATTGTTCTTTGTTCACGATTAAGCTGACGTTTCGGCGAACTTCGCCTTCTTCAGAGCCTGGAAAGGTCAAGTTGATAGCAACTCACTCGGCCAGACGCCTCCATAACCAAACAAAGAAACCCCAAACCAAGATTTCAATCACTTTGAACACAGCTTTGCACACTCACCGCTTTCTATGAGGTCTCCACTAAGTATGTCACGTAGAGACCAACCGCACAGAAATCACGTGGAAGTATAATGTGCCCCTCACATCAGAAAAGCAGTTTTATATACTGCCCTATATCACGCGTGATAATGAGGCATTCTTCCCTGCGGTTCATTTTCGGATTTCTGGAATTAATCCAGAGTGCCTCGAGGGTTTTTCGCGCCTGTGTTCTCAAGCGATAGAAGGGTCCCGTTTATCCTACCCTTCATCTCAAATGATATAAGTACAGCTATAAAACGCTGCTTAAGAAGGGCGGGCTTAGAGAATTCGGTGAGCGTAGTTGAAATACCACCGAGTAATCTTAAGCGCCAGCTAGTAACCGCCTATATGACCGTCTATGTGCAACTCAAAATTGCATAATTTGCCCCAGTGGTAGAGACGGTGATTGCATGAGCTCGGGTATAGTTTATCTGATCTCTTGTAAGACGTGTGGTGACGAATACATTGGCGAAACGGGTAGAACCCTCTGTGTCCGCATGAAAGAACACCTAGCCGGCAAAAATAGACCAAATACCCCGCTAGGCACGCATAGGACCCAGAGACATAACGGGGACGACTTCGAAGTATGTGTCACGATCCTCGCACGCGAATCGAGAACACAGGCGCGAAAAACCCTCGAGGCACTCTGGATTAATTCCAGAAATCCGAAAATGAACCGCAGGGAAGAATGCCTCATTATCACGCGTGATATAGGGCAGTATATAAAACTGCTTTTCTGATGTGAGGAGCACATTATACTTCCACGTGATTTCTGTGCGGTTGGTCTCTACGTGACATACTCAGTGGAGACCTCATAGAAAGCGGTGAGTGTGCAAANCGTCTATGTGCAACTCAAAATTGCATAATTTGCCCCAGTGGTAGAGACGGTGATTGCATGAGCTCGGGTATAGTTTATCTGATCTCTTGTAAGACGTGTGGTGACGAATACATTGGCGAAACGGGTAGAACCCTCTGTGTCCGCATGAAAGAACACCTAGCCGGCAAAAATAGACCAAATACCCCGCTAGGCACGCATAGGACCCAGAGACATAACGGGGACGACTTCGAAGTATGTGTCACGATCCTCGCACGCGAATCGAGAACACAGGCGCGAAAAACCCTCGAGGCACTCTGGATTAATTCCAGAAATCCGAAAATGAACCGCAGGGAAGAATGCCTCATTATCACGCGTGATATAGGGCAGTATATAAAACTGCTTTTCTGATGTGAGGAGCACATTATACTTCCACGTGATTTCTGTGCGGTTGGTCTCTACGTGACATACTCAGTGGAGACCTCATAGAAAGCGGTGAGTGTGCAAAGCTGTGTTCAAAGTGATTGAAATCTTGGTTTGGGGTTTCTTTGTTTGGTTATGGAGGCGTCTGGCCGAGTGAGTTGCTATCAACTTGACCTTTCCAGGCTCTGAAGAAGGCGAAATTCGCCGAAACGTCAGCTTAATCGTGAACAAAGAACAATAACACCTCGCGTTTGCTCAAAAAATACGAACAAAATCACTTGATCAATGCCGAGGTTAATAGAAAGTCGGTCGTGGCAGTTACTTCTACCTCAGTTGAATCAAAGGCCTTCTGTAAATCGATGAAAGTGAGACAGAGCGGTCTTTTGTACTCTCGCGACACTTCAATGAGCCGTGCTACCGTGTGGATGTGGTCCATCGTACTAAATCCTTTTCGAAACCCTGCTTGCTCACATGGCTGTCCTTTGTTTGGTGTTCTGTCAATCCTGTTTAGGATGACTCGAGTGAAAAATTTGTAGACGACAGACAGTAAGCGGATTGCGCGATATTAGCCGATATCGTGTAGGTCACCCTTCTTGAAAAATAACACGGTCCTACTGACTACTACGGTCTTCCATTGAGCAGAAACTTTGCATTCAGATAGGTAACGTGTGAAGAGCCGAGCCAGTGTGTTTACGAGAACTGGTGGAAGGTTATCCAGGTGTTCTGATTTTATTCTGTCCGGACCTGGTGCTGTTCGATTTTCCACCGACAAAATGGCATGCCGGATTTTGGAAGGGAGAACCGGTGGTACAACATATCCATCTTCTTTTCTTTCATATGAGGGAAGGTGGACGTGGCTATCAAAGAGAACTGGGTAGTATTCGTGAATGATTTTCTCCATTGCCTTTCTGGACGCTCTAACTGTTCCGTTTGGGCGTCGGAGTGCAATCATCTTGGTCTTGACATTGGTCAAGCTTCAGTGGGTTTTGCGAATGCTTTTCCCGGCCTCTGCTGCTTCGACCATTACTGCTGCTCTTCTCTCTTTAAGATCTTCTTTTGTCGCCTGTTTACATTGTTTTCCAAGTTCAGACGTCAGTTCGCGGTTGCCTGCAGCTCGTGCGATTGCACGCTAGCGGATCTGCTCGAGTGTTTCTGGAAACAGACTTCTCTTGGTGACTTTCGAACTCTGAGTTTTCACAGAGCTAACGCGAAGATGTTGAATGAGCCGATCGTATTCTTCGTCGATGTTGCTGACAACGGCATCTCCCCAACAGCCAACTAATGAATTGAATAAGTCCCACCCAATCTACGGTGATTCTGGGACTTCCGTTTTTGAATTTAATGGCTTTTCTCCTTTCCGCGAGAAATAGGGTCTTGCGCGACGGAAACGGTGGTCTGATCTCGTGTAGAATTTTGGGAGAACAGCGACATCGGTTAGGCGAAACCTCCTATTTACTATGATGTGGTCTATTTCGTTATGGTACTCTGCATTGGAGACTCCTACGTCCAGCGTTGAGGGTGGGGCTGCCGGAGTTGCGAGTTACCATGGTCGTCATGATAAACTCAGAGAGCCGCTCACCCTGTTCGTTCCATTCTAATCCGTGGGCCCCAATGAAATAAGGTACACAGATCATTTATACCGAGGTTTAAGGAAAGTTGGTTTATTGAGAAAATGAATATTTTGCTTTGCGTAAATGTTACGACCTATCCTTGTTAACTGAATAGTGAATTAAATAATCCACTGAGTTATATGGATATAAAAGAAAGGATAAAACTCTCGTCGTTGATCAATCCCTGAGGGATGCGCCATGCCATGACTTCATTAAGTATCGTTGGAGGTGATTGAATGCATATCTGGCCTTTACAATAACTGCGGTTGCGGTTGCCTACCGATATATCGAGCCAGTGTTGCTATCATCCCAGACAAGTCTGGTACCAATTTGACCACCCCAGTGGGATTGTGAGGCTTGGTGGGCCATGGGAGCGGGGATCGATTCCACGCGTGTGTCGCAGTGGCGCTTGCAACCACATATTATACGGATGTGGAAAGTTATATGGATAGCGATAAAAAATTACGTCCCAACTTTGAAGATGGAAAAGTCAAAAAAGTTAGTCATCGAAACAAACTGATAACAATATTTCAGTTGTGCTACTGATAACGGTACGAACTGCTGTACGATGGATGCGCCAAGAAAAAACAAGTTAGTATCAATGGACAATCATTATCAACAACGGTGGTCACGTATAAAAGGGCACTGTAGATTAAGTCTCTTCATTCGAGCGGTGCTCTATCAGATTCGACTCGATGAGATGGCGAAGACCTATATCGGAAAGAGGAAGAACTTTGGATGATAGACCTGGATCAATACGTCTGAGGGAAGCGAGCACGCATTGGATTGGATTGCATTGGGCATTGGAAGAATTAAGTTCTTTTTCAATCAAGTGTTAACTTATCAAAGAGCGAATAAAAACTGATAACAACTCCCCGTCACTTCAATAAAGTCAGTTCCTAGAATTTACATTAAAAATTGACGACGAGAGGCAGGCGGTCTTACGAATTGTCTTGCTTAATTTAATAGGTGTGAAGGCATATCATTTCTGGCGAATCGTGGCACAATCTGCCAATGAAGGAGAATCCGCGCTTGGGTTAGCGGTATTGGGACTAACCTGGTGTGATCAAGACTAAATCCGTCAAATCAGCTTATCGACGAGCAAAACATGTTGCAAAGAGACTTTTCTTCTAAAGTGGTGTAAATTTAACAAATTAGTGGAGCAAAAGCTCAACGGGTAAAGTGGCCATGCAAACATGCACGCTTTATCACTTGTTACATCCTGTATTGGGCCGAGCAATCCTATCATGCTTCAGCGGGAGGAAAATTAGTACCAGACTTGCTTGCAAGAACTGTGAATGCGCTAGCAAACCTACACCCTCGGACTTCATCAGCAATCAGCTGGACTGGCACTGAACAGCGTTCATAAAGACAACAAAATCTTTCAACAGTATCTGCATTCAACCACGAATGCGAGCAAATCCATCAGTGACGGGTGAGAGAGAACGAAATAAATGTTCGGATCTGAACTACATAAAGTTGGGTCATGTATGAAAGAGTAATCGAACAGAAACGGGCGGCGTTTTTATTTTGAAGGTCCTCGTGAATACACACTTAGTTATTGCTCACATCAAACAGTTATCAGTATTTTGCAGAGCATAATACTTCATTAATCTGAGGTACGAGTGTTCTTCTCTTCAGAGCACAAATTTTGAAATTTTCTCCACCTATAAAATAAGAGTGATTTAAAATTTTGCTGTAAAACTAAATCTAAGAAATTGGGACCTTTTCACTCATCTCTGGGGGCAGCTTTGTGTCAACGGGAATTCCAAGAAGAGCTCGCATTTCCATTACCGTTTTACCGTCCAAAAGATTTGCCACCCGACGAGCGCATTCCCGTGCCAGAAGACGTGCGTCCAAAAACATACAAGCCTGTGAAGTCAAAAACAAAATATGTTGCCATGCAGAGAATCTACTTCATTTAGGAGATTATAAGATTCAGGATTTCCTTCGGAGGCCAATGTCTTTGATATGGCTATCAGAGTTTAGAATCGAGAACACACCTCTACCATTTTGAGCAACTCAGGAACAGTCTCATTTCCTAGAAGGGAGTCGACCTTGCTGGAAACGAATTCTCCACTAACACTCCGACATCTCGCCAGGGAGACCAGCTGAAAATGAAAGAAGATCTGCGTCTTGCAATGTTTAAAAAATAAAGTTCATGGTTAATTTTTTAAGTCAGTGTTTCCAAATAATTACACTCCGTTTATAAATTCGTAAGGCACCTTTGCACAAGAAAGTTCTCCTAGAAAGGGTAAGCCAACTTTTTCCAGAGGCAGCTAGCAAGTGCTTCTAGGATGAGGACTATTCCTGACTTCCAACTGTCATCTCCATAAAACCACACACGGTTTGAATATCTCCGGCGGCCGATCCCGCTATTAGCAAAGCGTTGATGACATTGATGATATTTACAATGTTAATGCTATGATCTTCTATACTTTTACACAACTTTTATGGAAAAGTGCGTATTAAAATCCACTACCGGCACGCACGCAAATATCCATTGTTACTCTGTTATTAGGCATATCATGTTTTCCTATAACTCTCCCAAATAGTGCACTGGTAGTAATGCCGCTCAACAATATTTTGAGGTATAACTCGCATATAATGCTGAGATATTTGCAAGAATCCGGACTGCAGGTGTATGCGGTGGGGAACGAACACGCGCTGCTGTCCTTACCCGGGAGCAGCGCACTTCACCACCACACCATCCGGGTCCTTCGCCTTGCTTGTCTCTCAGCTAGTTCTATCGACCTTTTTGCCATCAGCAATCACCCGTCAAGAAAAAGGCAGTAGATAAAAGGGTTAATATTTTGAAACTTCTGGTTCGACCGCGCACAAGCCAAACTAGCCTCCCATTACTACGGAATCGGCAAGTTAATGCCAGACATGTATGGGAGAAGCTCGCTCCTAATCTACATAGAATTTGGCGACTTCGCCACAAAGACCTGAGAACTCCTTACAATAACAACCCCATGATTCTAAGGAGGACTAACTCGACTAAGATTCAACGGCGTCCATGAAGAAGCCAAAATACTCAGGTAATAGCCGAACCCACAAGCAAATCCGAACACTATCGTAGAAGACTGGTGCGAAGAGAGGAATCGAATGAAGAAAGTGTTGGGATACGTGTAATATGTAGTGCCCGATGTTTGAATATAAAAAAGCTCCACAAAAATATCATATTCGTTCTGAGCCCCATTAGTAATTTGTGACTAACCTTGTCTAAAACATCGCTGGTGATGCAAACAGGAAGTGTAAGGATAGAGGTCGGGCTACCCGCGACACATGGACCAGCATCTATAAATTGCCTGTTACCATAAACCAGGAGAGATTTGGGCTACGCTCGATGTGAAAACTCATACAGAAACATTCACGTCGAGTTAGAAAGCAATCCCCTTAGAAAACAGATGTTTTCATGTACAAAAACAGAACGCGATCATAATATTTCCACAGTAAATGCTCGTACTGTTGAGAAGACGCAATTTGTATCCATTGACATAGGGCTGCGTTCCATTTAACTTTTAAGAATAGTGCGAATTTGCTGTTGTTGTCATATCCTCTGAGGTATACATAGTGCTTGAACCAGCCAACTAACACCAGTTTCCCGGTTGTGATGAAATTATTGTATTTCAAGGTTGGTTTCTGGTCGTCTCACCATAAGATAAGAGGAAGTCAATAACTAGTGCAAAAACTGGGCCGGAGTAAAAACTATGCCAATCAGCTATAGTAAAGGTTAGGAAGAATGGATATTTAGACTTTGCTTGATTAACTACTAAGTAAATAAAGGCGTACCTCACATAAGAGCAGACAACTCTTTCGCTAATGACGACAGCCATGTAAAGTAAGTCCATGTAAAGTTATGAGCCTCAAATCAATATTTCCCTTATGAACGTGATCAAAACCTCGGATTTCTCGAAATTTCCTCCTTCTCTAACTATTCTGGTGCCGGATTTCGCTAATATTGCAGTGAGATTGTTTGGATGGCCTAATCGCAGTTGTCTGAAGTGCTGCTGCTGCTGCTACTACTACTACTACTACTACTACTACTACTACTACTACTACAAAAACAAAGTACGAAGAAAAAAGACCACCGTCAAAAAGTCTACGAATGGCAGAAAAGTTGCTGAAGTCTTCGTCAGAAACGTAGAGATGCCTGCCATCGGATGTGCTAAACACTCTACGGCGACCTGGCGTATCCGCAACGCCGGTATGCATCGATAGGCACGTCTTTGAGACACTCTCTGCCTAAAAGCACATAGGGCAATCTGATTTGAGCAAAAATTTCTGCAGCTGTGCTTTTAGTACAGTGAATTGCTAAAGATAAGGTCTAGTTGCAGTATGGTACACATCAGTTATTTCTAGTTCAGGAGTTTAGCAACTCCATTATGTATATACTCACGACCTTATGATGATGAAAGGAAGTTTCTGTAGATACGACACCATTTATCAGATCTTGATACGGAGGAATACCATGTAGAGGTTCATTCTCATGTTGCATCAGGGGAACGTTCTATTAAATTTTAAAAGACGTCGTAAACCGACAATAAACCCCGTTGCCACTACGACAGAGGTTACCTTTGGGTAAAAAATGAGCTCATCGGTAGCTCACCAACAAAGGTACTCCCAACTGACAATGCTATGTGGTGCACACACGCTAGAAAATAGGAAGTGTAAGCCCATTATAACCCAATGGATTTGTTAGCAGAACGCTGATCTATGTAGAACTACCAAATACAAAGATGGTGAGCGTAGATTCTACTGGAAAGCTTGCAAATGAATTGAATATTTGGACGTGGCAAATGTATGACGACTCATCTTTGTGTAGAAGGAGGCACATGCGTTCTCTTTCAGAAGATACTGAATTAGCACCTGTGGCTCATTGGATATTCGTATGTTTCTTTTAACTTTCGATCATACAAAGAATCCTTAAAGAGATAAAAAATGCAGCTTGTGGGTTTGATCAAGGCATGAGGCAAATGCCATGCATTTGAGTCCATTCACAGCATCATAGAAGCGATTCATTTCACATCTTTCCTGGACAGTGGTCTACCAATGTATTAAATCAAGTAATTCTGACGTAAGATTCTGGGTTAAACTAACTTTTATGAACTATTTCTACCTAATAGCTCACTTTACAACTACGAACAGATTTGTAGTCTTTTGAATTCGCCGTCGCACACGCGCTCTCCGCAACAGCGCTGCTCGTTTGAGAACTGATTTCTCATGTGGCAGGAAGTGACTTCCTCATCGCAAACTATTCGTGATGAGCAAAGTTCTTGTAGTGATATAATTCATTTTTCGTCTTCACAGCCTTATTTTGTGGTTCATTTTGTGGTAAAGAAAAAGTTAATATACTCAACAGACCGATCGTTGTTGCATTCGCTCCAACCCTCCAAAGGTGTTGAGTCAACCGCACGTATTTCATTTCAAACCTTATAAAGGATTTGATAACATCTAAGATAATGATATCATGTTGTGAGTCTAGTGCAGCTAGTCGATTTCACCTCAAGAGAAGGTGATGATATCTGTATGCTTCCACGTTTTCACTTGTCTTTCTTTCGCCTGAAATAATTGGCAATTCCCACGACCGACTTTCTATTAACCTCGGCATCGATCAAATATGCAGGGAATTGAATTGAATTGAATTGAATACGAATATGAACTGAATATGCTAGAATGAATAGCAGGAACGAATGCACCTAAGTCACACATGATCTGGCCCGCACCGTCGCATCGACTTTTGATGTGGGGTGGTGCATTCATTGACCATATGCGACGCTGATCATCTGTTCTTCCTCATTGGAAGGCACGTAGAAAGCGATGGGTTCTTCGAGAAGCTATTGGTCGTGTGATTGCGATTTAGATTAGATGTTCACCTTTCTTTATGTGTTACTGGAGCGTTTGACATAGTAAATTGCCCATTAATACTCCTTCCAGGCTCTGAAGAAGGCGGAATCTGCCGAAACGTCAGCTTTAACAGAATAAAGAATAAAGTAACACCATGTGTTCGCTCAACAAGAATAGCGAGAACTATAATTGAAATGCTGTCTCATTCCAAACATCCATGAACTGTACAGCTTAACAGGAATTTATTACCTGGGTAAACTCTGTAACCGAAAAAATGCCAAATTGGTTGCTACTCCATTTGAAGGCCACTGCTGTGGGTATCTGTAACCTTCCTATCCTTTATTCCAATAGGAAATCGTTCTCAGACGAAGTCGACGTGAAAGTGCTCTGCTGACTGTAAATTACACACATTAACGAAATGGCTGCCATTTGTTATTGATTCCAATAGAGAATCCCATTCCACATCGTATTCTCTAAAAATTGGGAATGGTTTCCACTTAACATATTCTATTAAAATTTTGAATAGCGCTCCAATCCATAGCACACACAGAATTTTTCCGACCTATGGTAATGCACAGGGGCGCGTGTGGGGTGGTTGGAGACCCCACTACAACACACATGTTGAATCGGTCTCCGCACCCATGGCCCACCAAGCCTTCCATCCCTCCGGGGTCGGCAAATTGGTACCAGACTTGTTTGAGAGGATAGCAGCACTGCCTCGATACATAGGTAGGGCACCGCGAGTCATTCTAAAGTCCGGATATGCATTGAATCACCTCCAACAATATTTAATAAAGTTGAATGCATGGCTCATCCCTCGAGAATTGATCAACGCCGAGAGCTTTATCCTTTTTATGTTAATGCACAACGATAATTTCGACTTTTTCCGCACTGCCTGAGCAAGACATAGTTTTTAGAAACTAGTTTGAAACAAGAAAAGACGCCGAGTAGAATACCAGTCGTGCGCTCTGTTTCTACCGATTACCTCGAGGAGACAAGATAATAAATTGCTACGAACACAACTGAGTTTGCTAATCCACCGAACTGCTGTATTCAGTACCAAGCTTTCGATGAGTTGAGTTCTTTCTTAATGGACTTTTTTTGACATACGTAATCGATTTCCAAACTTTAGTTAGATGAAACGTGGCAAATTTCGATTGCCAATTGTCCTTGTCTCCCATTTTCTTTTGGTCATCGGCCTCAAGGGTCGCCATAGGACATAATGAATGACCGTAGTTTTTTAGTTACAAAGGTTAATGTTTCGATGACTAAAAGGGTTGGAAAGCTGAGAATTTAGCAGACTTCCAGACCACACTTTCCTCTACCGCTCTACTCGTATGTATTTTACTAGTCACTATATATTATTATAGTTCGACATCCAATCAGATTGCTCTCAGTTCTTCGAGATGTCGCTCAACTTATTTTAACTATAATTTGGCACTTTCTCCCAGCATGCAAATTCAGTCTGCCTGCCCTACGTGCAAGTCATATTCACTCTCCACCCTTTTACTAGTAATAGTCTTTGTGCTTGTACGTCGCTTCAAAAGGCAATTAATCGCAGTGGAACTCGCGTGGGAAACTGCGGGATCTAGAGACATTCTATTTGCCTTTTCATCATTAGCCCTCTCGCCACCCATGTGCCATGTCTCCGTGGCTTGAAGAAGCAACACTTCTTAAAAAATTATTTTGCGCCATTAACAGTAAAGAATTACTGCTTCAACATCTGAAACTCTGATTTGCTTAAACCCTATTCCTTTGTGCAAGCTATTTCATTCTCATCAGACGATCTATTCTTGTCTACCGAGCTTTTGTATAAGTGAACCTTCTTTTATACCATTTCCTTTGTCAATGCTTCTTCGCCGCTATCGTTTTACGCATTGAATCCACTCTTTTGTAGGCTCTTCGATTTTCTTCTGATGGACACTCGTGCACCAACTCCGCTGTCAGAGTGCGCTAACTGCGAAAGTCTCAAAATTCTCCTGCTGACCACCAACTCTCCTTTCCGGTAATAATTTCTCCCACTTCAAATGAAAGAACGACTACCTCACTGAAATAGTGTATGCCTTTTCTATTCGCCTAAACGCTGCTTGTTCAACCCACATAAGAGAATACGATTATACATTCTTTATGTTGATGTTACTAGCCTGATTATATTTATAGTGCTCTGTGTAAACGTTTAAACGTACGCTGTTATCCTTTCCGGCTTTCAAGTTTTATCCACTGCACCACCGAAGCCCATGCTTTGCCACTTATCTTATAAGTGATCATACAGTAACTATTCCTTAAATAATCTTAACCTTTTTATTCACTGCCTATTCTTTTTAACGGCAGGGTATTTTGCGAAATATAACTATTATAATGCTAAGATAGTTCCCAGGATCGACTTTCTATTAACCTCGGCATTGGAACATGAATGCGTCGTTTTCTTGTTCAGCAATCGCGAGGTTTTTAAACAGCATACATTTACTTCCATAGAAAAACACAGAGCACTATAAATATAATCAGGCTAGCTATACAATATAATACAATACAACGCTAGCTGACGTTTCGGCAGTATCGCCTTCTTCAGAGCCTGGAAGGGTGTAATGATATACAATCTACTAGGCCAAACGCTTCAATAACACTTACAAAAAGACGAAAAACTCTTTGGTAATTACACGATCAACAACTTCTCGAAAAACCCACCGCTTTTTCGTGACTTCCAATGAGGAAGTTTAGAACAGCTGATTATAGTTGCATGTGGTTGACGACTGCACCATCCCACTCCAGAAATTGACGAGAACATACAGGGTCAGGTCGCCTATGACCTCTGGGCATTCCTCCCTGCTATTCATTGTAGGGTTTTCGGCATTTATCCAAAAAGCCTCAAAAAGTTTTCGCGCTGGTGTTTCGGACTCCTGTGCAAGGATATTGACTTTTACTTCAAAATCGTCTCCGTTATGCTTTTGTATCCTATGCGTGCCTAGTGGGGTGCTTCGTCTTAGTTTTCGTTTGCCATCAAGGTGTTCTTTTNTTGACTTTTACTTCAAAATCGTCTCCGTTATGCTTTTGTATCCTATGCGTGCCTAGTGGGGTGCTTCGTCTTAGTTTTCGTTTGCCATCAAGGTGTTCTTTTATACGGAGACACAAAGGTCTGCCCGTTTCGCCAATATATTCATCTCCGCAATTGTTACAAGAGATCAGGTATATCGTACCTGAACTCATGCAATCACCTTCTCTGCCGTAAGGGCAAATTACGCAATTTGTTGTTTCACATTGACGGCCATGCAGGCGGTTACGAACTAATTGACGACGTAGAGTAGCCGGTGGTATTTCAACTATCACTACCGATTCCTCCAGACCTGCCCTTCTTAAGCATCGTTTTATAGCTACGCTTCATCGCTTATAAAAGGCAGCATAAATGGGATTTTCTTTTAGCCAAGTGTTTGGCGTGGGAGTATCGCTCTCCTTCTAAACTTATCTCGTGGGGTTACTATTTCGTAGCCATTGGAGATGACTATTTGCCGAGCCAAGTCGCGCGATTCTTCCTTTAGTTCCCTGGTAGTGCACACAGAGGTGGCTGTTCGAAACATGTTTCTCACAATCGCCCTCTTTGTGTGTGAAGGATGGGAAGAAAGGAAATGAACAAGAATGTTCTTGTTATTTGGCTTT